ACACTTCCACGCCCGCCCAGCACTGACACTCATATGCCTGCCCGCCTATACCCCATCCCCGCCCACCACTGTCCCACCCATACGCCCGCCGACCACCCCCCTTCTGAACCTTCAGCCAACAAAACATTTAACACACTTCCCGTATTATACAGATACAAAACAACGTCAATGTAACCAAACTGATAAAACTTGTGTCTACGAATAGCCTTAATTTACAAAGACTATTTTGACTTTTATTTCATTTAGAGGCGTATTACTAGGTCATGTTGACTGTGGGCAGGCTCCCTCTGGTGTATGGCTGGTGCAGCAGTGTGTGTGTGAGAGGTTTCCTCCTCCCGATGACTGCACGAGTGGTCACGGTGAGAGACGCCTCACAATGGCACCTCACTGTTTATTTGTTAAGGCTGGCAAGTTGTTATTGTTGTGCTCAGTTGCTGCGAGGGCCACGGCTAAACGAGACGTGTTTTAATGATAGACTTTATGCACACTTAGTGGAGAGGCTCTTGCCTCTACAACCGGTTCAAGACCGCGCTTCCTGTACATCTTCATCGCCACCGGCAGTTGATGCAAGCGGGCTCAATTCAATATGGCAATGAAGCAGCCCTCCAAAAATCAAGCCAATTTCGGAGCAAATGATTAATTTCCACCTTGTTCTCCACTATAACCATAACTATGTTGTTTACGCTTGATATTATGAAGCAAGAGGTCGTGTTGCTCTCTTATCAACTTGTGTCACCGGCTGCCGATCTCCCTGGGTCAACCCAGCGGGTTTTCTTCCTATTGGGGAGTGTTGTACATGCTGCTATGGCGGTGTATCCACTCCCAGGATGAGTGGCGCTGCCCAATAAACTCGCCCCTGGGGCAAAATTAAATAAACAAAAATTAAACTATTCAAACATGGATAAGAACTTATCGGGGCCGCGTTACAGTCAAATCTACGGTATTTTGTAACCACGTTTTACATACACAAGTATAATCTATCACACTTTATAATTCATGAATAAGTCGTTGCAGCCTTTCCCAGAAACTCAAACACAGTCGCGTTGTGTAATAAAAATAATAAATAACATTTAATAAGCTCTTTCGACGATTTAAATTAAAAGTAAAGTATTTTGGGTGGCAGCGAGGTATTTACTGGCCGTCTCCACCACCTTCAATTACAGCCACCCGCGGGCTGCTCCCCCACGACACGTGACCAGCGGCAAGCCTTATGTCATCACGTCATATCTATATATGAGTGCTGATCCTTCACATTCTTCCAGTATCACGTAGCACCACCACACCTGTCAGGGCGGCACCACCACACCTGTCAGGGCGCCGCCACCACACCTGTCAGGGCGCCGCCACCACACCTGTCAGGGCGCCACCACCACACCTGTCAGGGCGCCACCACCACACCTATCAGGGCGCCACCACCACACCTATCAGGGCGCCACCACCACACCTGTCAGGGCGCAGCCACCACACCTGTAAAGACGCCGCCACCATCACACCTGTAAATGTGATGCAACCTTCCGGATAACTGATCCGACACCACACCCTCCCCACCACTAATCCGACACCACACCCTCCCCACCACTAGTCCGACACCACACCCTCCCCACCACTAGTCCGACACCACACCCTCCCCACCACTAGTCCGACACCACACCCTCTCCACCACTAGTCCGACACCACACCCTCCCCACCACTAGTCCGACACCACAACCTTCCCACCACTAGTCCGACACCACACCCTTCCCACCACTAGTCCGACACCACACCCTTCCCACCCTAGTCCGACACCACACCCTCCCCACCCTAGTCCGACACCACACCCTTCCCACCACTAGTCCGACACCACACCCTTCCCACCACTAGTCCGACACCACAACCTTCCCACCACTAGTCCGACACCACACCCTTCCCACCACTAGTCCGACACCACACCCTTCCCACCACTAGTCCGACCCCACACCCTCCACACCACTAGTCCGACACCACACCCTTCCCACCCTAGTCCGACACCACACCCTTCCCACCACTAGTCCGACACCACACCCTTCCCACCACTAGTCCGACACCACACCCTTCCCACCACTAGTCCGACACCACACCCTCCCCACCACTAGTCCGACACCACACCCCACCACTAGTCCGACACCACACCCTTCCCACCAATAGTCCGACACCACACCCTTCCCACCACTAGTCCGACACCACACCCTTCCCACCACTAGTCCGACACCACACCCTTCCCACCACTAGTCCGACACCACACCCTTCCCACCACTAGTCCGACACCACACCCTCCACACCACTAGTCCGACCCCACACCCTCCACACCACTAGTCCGACACCACAACCCTCCCGCCACTAGTCCGACCCCACACCCTCCCCACCCTAGTCCGACACCACACCCTTCCCACCACTAGTCCGACACCACACCCTCCACACCACTAGTCCGACACCACAACCTTCCCACCACTAGTCCGACACCACAACCTTCCCACCACTAGTCCGACACCACAACCTTCCCACCACTAGTCCGATACCACAACCTTCCCACCACTAGTCCGATACCACACCCTCCCCACCACTAGTCCGATACCACACCCTCCCCACCACTTGTCCGGCACATCACCTTCACCGTTGGGACGGTGATGTGCCGGACAAGTGGTGGGGACGGTGATGTGCCGGACAAGTGGTGGGGACGGTGATGTGCCGGACAAGTGGTGGGGACGGTGATGTGCCGGACAAGTGGTGGGGACGGTGATGTGCCGGACAAGTGGTGGGGACGGTGATGTGCCGGACCAGCACTTGTCCGGCACATCACCATCCCCACCACTTGTCCAGCACATCACCATCCCCACCACTTGCCCGGCACATCACTCATCTGAGAGTTCTCTCTCAGAGTACCTGTTGCAACTCTGCTCTTCAACGGGGGGTATTCGGCACATCCTGCCATGCCTCCTGGTCTCATGGTGTTATTTTTGTATGCAGGTTTGGGACCAGCCCCTCTACTATTTTCCACGTGGAAATTATTATGTATCTCTCCCACCCGTGCTCAAGAGAATACAGATTTAGGCATTTTAGTCAGTCCCAGTAGTTTAGATGTTTTACCGAGTGCATTCTAGTAGTAAAGGATCTCTGCACGCTCTCCAGGTCAACAATTTCCCCAGCTTTGAAAGGTGCCGTCATTGTGCAACAGTACTCCACCCTAGAGAGCACAAGCGTTTTGAAAAGTATCATCATCATCGGTATAGCATCTAATGTGATATGTTCTTGTTATCCAAACTGTCACTTTTATTGCAGTTGTGATGGCTACTCTATTGTGTTTTTTAAAAGGTATCTTGGGTGAACTCATATCTTCCGATATGAGTACACCCAAATCCTTCATATTGCCATTTCATTCTATGTTATGATTTGACTGCATTTTGTATGTGGTTTCTGTTTTTATATTTTCATTTTTCCGTAGCGCATGAGCTGGAACTTTTCTTTAAATACCATGCTATTTTTTGTAGCCCATAGAAAAACCTGATTTACATCTGACTGGAGGTTTGCCATATCCTCTATTTTGCCTACTTTCATAAAAATCCTAGTGTCATCTGCAAAGTCTGATACAGTACTATAGATCGTTTCCTTGTCTATGTCCGATATGAGGATGAGAAAAAGTACTGGAGCAAGTACAGTACCCTGAGGGACCGAGCTCATCACGGTTGATGGATCAGATTTTATTTTGTTAACTATTACACATTGGGTTCTGTTAGTCAGGAAATTGTAGACCCATCTGCTTATTTTCCAGTAATTACTTTTGAACACATTTTGAGTGGAATAAAACCATGGTCATATTTGTCAAAGGGTTTTGCGAAATCTGTGTAAATTACATCAGCGTTTTGTTTGTCTTCCATGGCATTTAAGGCCATGTAATAGTGGTCCAGCAACTGTGATGCAAGAGCCCCCCTGCTCTGAATCCATGTTGTCCATGGTTATGGAGATGCTGGGATTCCATGTATTTTGTGATCTTACTTCTTAGCACTCTGTCAAAGATTTTTAAGATGTGTGATGTTAGTGCTATTGGTCAGTAATTTTTTGCCTCTGCCTTATTTTCTCCTTTATGAAGCGAGAAAGGTATCAGCCAAAAAAAAACTTTTATTACACTCATCACACTAATTTTATGACTTGAGGTAACCCCCAAGGTGAATTCCATGACATTACTTCAGAACTAAGAAACACGAGTTGAATTTGTTTTTTGTTTTCCAGTATACATACTGTATAACCATATTTGAAAACAAAACAAAGAACGGATATAAAAACCATAACTAAGTTTATAAGAATATGAGCAGACAGATTGTGAAGGTATGGTTATAAAATACATAAACAAAATCAGTGAAGAAAATATAAGAAAAAGTACAGTACTAGAATTTCTAAAAAAAAAAAAAAAGAGAGGCAGATGGTTGAAATAAACTCAAGGAAATGGAAGTGTATACCATACCATACTTAATTTGCTGAACCTCTTAAAACATATTTCTGTTTACATTTATGTAAAAGATGGGACACCATAAACTTAGCTCTATTCCAGAAAATACAATACTGTACATGAGGCAACAGTCACAAACACATAAGCAATCAATGCACGAGCAATCACAACACACACAATCAATCACAACTCACAAGCAATCACAACACACAATCACAACACACACAAGCAATCACAAACACACAAGCAATCACAACACACGAACAATCACAACACACGAACAATCCCAACACACAAGCAATCACAAACACACAAGCAATCACAACACACGAACAATCACAACACACGAACAATCCCAACACACAAGCAATCACAACACACAAACAATCACAACACACAAGCAATCACAACACACAAGCAATCACAACACACAATCACAACACAAGCAGAAACAGCAAGAGCAAGAGCACATACATCACCACAGCTCAAAACACAAGAAAGAAAATATGTAATGAAAACCTGTACGATAAGCTGTACTTACCTTCTATCGGAGTACAATTAGCTTCGTCTTTATTATCGGTGCAGTCTTGATTACCATCACAAACAGATGCGATTGGGATACACTGGGTTCTATTATCACATTCAAAAAAGTTTTCACCACATTCTGTATGGTAAAAAACAAAATTGCCATGTTAATTATTTTACCTCAATAATAAAGCTACTGTCTCACATGCTACAAAAAAATTAAGGCAACACACACCGGACACTTTACTGTAAACCAAAACTTACCAATAACCAGGTACTGTAGTATTGACATTTTCTGAATACTTCCTGAACATTCTCCAAAATCAAGACAATGTACTGAACACACAATTATCAGCAGCAATTCAGTTCACATCCACAATATGAGGCAGTGGTAAAACAATATTCAGTTATAGCAATTTACCTAGTACTAGCCATTTTCCCTGCTCATTTGAACTTATTATATTTTTGTAGCAAACATGCAAGCATAATGGTGTCAAACTGCTCTATTTTGAATTATGCAAATAGATTAGATCACTAATTACTTAGAATATCTGGAATAGAACTCCAATTACATTTACTATTCTTTGCCACAATTTGTTTCATTTTTATAAGAAGTGACAATGTGTTTACACATACATAAACAGTACAGTGTTTTCATACTGGAAACACATGGAGAAGTCAATTTTATATATACAAAATATATAGTTGTACCATTATGTTTGCCAACAACTCGAGTACAGATTAGCAAATGATGTTCGTTTATTTGGACACCTGATTTGTATACGGGTAAATAATGTCTACATGATCCTAAGTGGATAGCATATCCAGTGCTATGTTCCATCCAGAGATTTGGATTATTGATACACTATTGTGTTCAGATAATCATACAGTGTACTAAGACAGTTATAATATGATACTGATTTGGATTCCAAATTTAATGCCTGTAAAATTAGTTTTTGGAATTACATTTAGAGTAGCGCACTAGTAAGGACTTTATGCAACTAATGGGAACAAAAATTTAAATTGGGATGGTTTCAGAGAGGGTGGTTGAGATAACCCCCACCAAACAATTCATGACTTAAAAAAAATGGTAGGGGAATTTAAGAGGATAGATGAGGGATTGGCAATATTAGTTGAAAAAGACCCAAACCCAAAGAGATATTAAAAATCTCCAAAATTATATTAGTGCACTTCAAACCCTATCCAAAAGGCATCCTCCAGAATGTCACACAATCAATAGCAAAATTCATAAAAAAGCCTGACCTACAATCTGCTAAATTTGAACTGCCTGACATGCCAAATTTGACAATAGAATATGCTCCCATTATCCAAGAATGATACTGTATATAATTTGCAATATTTGTCCAGTTGGTATTTGATACTAATTGCCAAGATACTATCCAAGAGAGTGTGTGTGTGTGTCTACCACGAATAAGGGTCAATGGTTCCTCATTCTAATCTTATCCAGGAATTGAACAAGTACAATCAGGTATCAGGTTACTGAACTATCCACTGTGCAATGGGTCACACTTCTCTTGCCCTCTCAAAGAGGTGAAAAGTTCTGGTTCTTTCTAGAATGTAAACTCATGTCTAATATTGTCACCCCTTTTTGCATTGGGGCTGGCAAAGCCATTATCTTATGTTTTGAAATCAAGATACCTTCTGTGCCTTTCCTCAAGTTCAGGGACTTTATCAACATCTGGCTTATGCTCATCTTGATCTGGTTTCATTTTTTTCATTCTCGCCATGCTTTTTATATTGCTCAGTCACCAGCAGGAATCACTTTCAAGGCTGCATTTCTTCTTTCCTTGGCATCAAGACATCCTGTTGGGTAGCTTCAAGCTCTCAATTGTAAATGTAAAACTTTTGCATTGGGCTCTGGGGATTAATTCCTATGCTTGCAGCCTGTTTCAAACATTCTTGTAAATAATAAGTCACCAGTGTTCTTTTCATTGTGCAGACATGGTTGCACAAGTGCATGGCTGAATCACTGGCTTTGTCCATTTGTGGCTGTCTGCCAGTATCTACTAGCTATTAGGGGTGTATTCTACCTTAATCATGAACCCACATATTTATGTTGCTGTGCACAAAAGTACACCTCACAAAATGTACTAAGCAGGTGGTTAAGCATGGTTAGCTTTGGGCTTTTTTGCTAAAATATCCACTACTAATATTAAGACACAGGGTTTCTGAAGGTCTAAAATAAGAGACCTCTCCAACCTTCCAGGCCTCCCTCATCCTCAGTAATGCTGTGTTGCCCTGGGGCGATTTACCCATCATCATTTGCTACACCCCAGGTCTTCTGGTCCTGGGCACTTCTCTCTTGGGGAAAGACTCGCATAATGTCATCAATTATTATTTCTCTCTTTATAAATACAAAGTTTTTTACACCATTACTAGGAAGGAAGGGAAGCTATTGAGAAGACTGAAATAGATCATGAGTGTAAAGAAATGCCCCTTTCTGTTTTGTACCTCAATGCCTCCTTAATCTTCCTCCTATCTTTCTCAAGTTGATAAGATTTGCTACGCTCCAAGTGAGGTGTCCTCAACCCAAACCTCTAGCTGGTAGAACTGTTACCTGATGGCAGGCAGGGTAGTCAGGTAATGGTGCTTCACTAGTTTCAAAAAATGCCAGTGTTGCCACGCTTCTTATGAAACGAGTCTTAGTATTGTGAAGTGCTTGTGTGTGCCAGAGGGTGGTATCTTTCAGCTGTGTGCCATATCTCTGACCTCCTGTTCAATCAGGCTGTGATTCATCTATCAGGCTGCAAACAGCCGCGTTCAACAGCCTGATTGACCAGACGACCAGCCGGGTGGCCTGGTCTGAGACTGGGCCGCAGGGCATTTGATCCCTGGAACCTCCACAAGGTAGGTAGATGCTCGCTCACCACCCAGTCAAAGCACACAAGGCATGTTTTGAAAAAGCATGGTGGTTGTCCTTGTGGGTGGAAAAGTCATCCAATCTCTAATGTGACATTGGATGATCTGATCTAATGTCCTGAAGGTAATCAGTGCCTGAGGCTAGGGAAGTTACTAAGGGTTCTTGCCCAAAAAGGAGCTTTTTGTTACCCTCGTTCTATTTTTCTTTTAATATGAATCAAACACAAGTCTGACCTAGCCCAAATATGCCTATTATTTCCAAACATTGCTATAAGTTCATAAAAATAAGCCTTAAAAAATATTAAGTATTATTAATACTTAATGATAAGTATTATTAATTAAAATTAGCAATATAATCTCTACACATAAAATATAACCATTTACTGCAGTTATAAGAAAATAAACAAAAAGCCCTGGCCATTAGGCAGAACAGACCTTACCTACCAGGTCCAATAGTGCAGTTTTGAATAATAGGAATGACATTATAATGATAATTGTCCACACACACAAAGTTAATTTTTTTATGTTGAAGCAAAATTAGAATATGCAGCAGTGGTTTGGAGCCAACATTAAAAAAGCATGCAGCTAAATTAGAAAGAGTTTAAAGGCATGCAACAAAATGTGTACATTCAGATATTAGATTTATAAAGAGGTGTTCGATTTCCTGAAGCTTCCTAAACTGGGGATGGAAAACGAAACACAGTGGAGACATGATCACCACACACACAATATAATAATGGTTGGATACAGTTGAAAATGTTTATTTTTTGCCCCAAAAATGAAGCAGAGGGAATATCAGAAAATATTTCTTCTATAATAAAGTAGTCGGAGGATAAACCTCAAGAGAAAGTTTTACATGCCCAAACTACTGCTAGTTTTAAGTTTAAACTTTTGTTTAAATTATAAAGAAGAAAGAACACCACAAGCATTGCTCTCTTCCTGTAACTACAACTATGATATCTCTCATAATATTATATATATATACAGTATATATATACATACACACATATTATATATATATATATATATATATATATATATATATATATATATATATATATATATATATATATATATATATATACATATACATATATATATATATATACACATATATACATATACATATATATACACATATATATACACATATATACACACACATACACACACACATACACACACACATACATATTATTATATATATATATATATACACACATGCATACACACACACATATATACATACATATATACATACATACATATATGCATATATATATATATATATATATATATATATATATATATATATATACATACATATATACACAGACATATATACATACATACATATATACATATATACATACATATATACATACATATATACATACATACATATATACATACATACATATATACATACATACATATATACATACATACATACACACACACATATACATACATACATATATACATACATACATACATACATACATATATATACATACATATATACATACATACATACATATATATACATACATATATACACATACATACATACATATATATATATATACATACATAAACATATATGTATGTATGTTGTACCTAGTAGCCAGAACGTTGTACTCGGCCTACTATGCAAGGCCCTATTTGCCTAATAAGCCAAGTTTTCCCGAATTTATATTTTTTCTATTTTTTTCTTTTGAAATGATAAATCTATCCATTTCATTATACTGTATATGAGTTCATTTTATTTGAGTTAAAGATAACGTACATATATGACCTAACCTAACCTACCTAACCTAACATAACTACATTAATAATTTATGTTCTAAATATAATAATAATAATAATTCAAATATACCAATTGGGAACAAAATTTTGAAAATAAAGAAAATCACTTGGCCTATTAGGCAAAGCGGGCCTTGCATAGTAGGCCGAGAAGTGCATTCTGGCTGCTAGGTATGATATTATTATATATATATATATATATATATATATATATATATATATATATATACATACACACACACACACACACACACACACACACACACACACACACACACACACACACACACACAGTATATACACAATGCATAAACGCACAGGAGTAAGAAGATCTTCCTGAACTGTTATGTACGTTACAATAAAACCCATGGTATTATACTGCAGATAATACAGTACATAGAATAAATCAATCTCCAAGAAATAATTCTTCAAAGAATACATTAAAGGAATCAATAGAAAATATTACATAGTGAAAGAATAAACAAATTAGAGCCTAACACCTGAAGATCAAAGGTAAGAGAGATAATGATAAATAATGAATACTTTCAAATACTGTACATTGACAGGTATGGAAAGATAAGATGGATAAAAAAAAAACAGTGTTGAATGTAACGAAATGCCATTTTCTGGGCGAGACTCAGAGGCCCCCCGAAACTATCCGGCTGATACAAATGTATAAGCTTTGGGGATCGGTCAATGTACATGGAGTCTAGGCCTACCAGGGACCACGAGCCAGAACCTGGCCCCCCTCAGAGAGACGCGAGGAGCAATGGCCTATAGAAACTCCTTATATATGGTTTAGAAGTACTCTACATCTGCCATCGACCGGGTCGGGCACACAAAGATAGGTGCCCCAAAACACCCCCAAATTTTGGTACCGAAATGCTACAAATGCCGAACGAGACGATAGAACTCTCCATGAAAAAAATGATCAAACAAGCATGACGTCATCTCATTACCAACACGCTGCTGTCTGTGCAACCCCCCCCCCCCCCCCACTTCCCGGGAAAGGGAAGGGGGAGCCCCAGACCCCCCCACCGGCTAACTGAGCCTGTCATTTCTTGGCTGATGTCGGTGGGCTTCGGTCATGTCCCTCCAGCTCCGGCTTTTCTTCTCTGTTCTTACTTCGGTGGTGTATTCACAAGTACTCGGACTGCATGTGCCTATGGTCCCCTTCCATAAGTGCCCTGCAAGCACAAGCCGCCTCGGGAGCTACCTCCATTGTGTCAATTACGGCTTGGTACTTGTCCACCCATGGAGTCAGCTGGAGGGTTTTCTTGCTCCTCTGTCTCTGGGTAGGGGGTAGTAACCATCATCGGTAGGGACACAGGGTATTTATGCAGCTAGTTTTCACCTCTCATAGTGGCCGGCTCTGCATCCTATGGGTATGCTGCCCTCTTGCGTTTTTTCTTTCTGTTCCTTGCCTTGGCGGTGTGGGGGCAGGGGGGCCTGCCCTTGGGTTTGGGTCACACCCTCTATATACATATTGATGGTACCTCCTCTAGGCCCCCGTAAGCGGACACGTCCCGGGGGTGCAGTCTTACAAGTTTGTTTGGCAATATTAGGAGCCGGTTAGTAGTACCCTGCCTTGGCTTCCATTAGTGGAGATTGAAAAGCTAAGGGCCCTGGGAAACCCCACGGGGGCGCATGGGTCCGTTGGGTGTGATCCCTGAGTCCCACCTTGCTTTTTTCGAGCTTGAGGGTTACTCAATCCCCCTTGAGCCGGCTGTTTTTCAGTGGGGTCCCTGGGGTTGTTGATGGTTCGTTGGTTTGGCTGGGGATGCATCTTCTTGTGTCCGGTTTTGGCTCTCAGCCATTGCCTGCGTGCCTCAGCCTCTGATGCCCCTGGACGCACTTTTCATTACCCGGGTTCTCTTCATCCCTGATCCAGGGGTTCGGATCTCCCAGGTCGTCTGCGGGGTCGTTTGGTGTTGCCAGTTGTCTTGCTTTCGGGTTTCGGGCACGTGGTTTCTGCCTCCCAGGTTTGTCCCTCTTTTGTCCTTGTCTCTGGGTAGTTAGCTCCGGGGAGCCCCTTTGGCTCCCCGAAGAAAACCAGCGTTGAATGTAATGAAACGCCATTTTCTGGGTGAAACCCAGAGACTCCCCAGCATCCCTCCCTCTCTCCGGTCAACGGTTCCTTTCGCATGTTTTAACATCCAGCCTAAGAACTGACAGGCTCGGGTAACTGGCAGGGGGTCTAGGGCTACCCCCTTACCCCTCCCGGGGAGGGGGAGGGGGTTGTGCAGACAGTGGCGTGTTGGTACCGAGATGACGTCATGTTCATTTGAGCATTTTTCTTCATTGAGTTCTATCCTCTCGTTTGGCATTTGGCAGCATTTCTTCACCAGAATGGGGGTATTTTGGGGCCCCTATCTTTCGGGGTGCCCGACCTGATAGATGGCAGACAGAGTACTTCTAGACCAAATATATAAGGTTTGTCTATAGGCCATTGCTCCTCATGCCTCTCTGAGGGGAGCCAGGTTCTGGCTCGTGGTCCCTGGTAGGCCTAGAACTCCGTGTACATTGATTGATGCCCAAAGCTTATACATCCGTATCAGCTGGATAGCTCCAGGGAATCAAAGGGGTTCCCCACAGAAAGATATATATATATCTTTCTGATATATATATATCAGAAAGAGACGATACTGACTTAAACTAGAGTTGTGTACAGCTGGAACATGCTACAGAATGAGGTGGTGTGTGTGAAGAACCCAAAATATTAGGAGTATTATAAACGTAAATGGGTAACTGGATATGAAACACCACTCTTTAGCTCTACCTATAAAAAAGCACACAGGTTATCACACACAGTATTATATTAAATTAAGGAGCCCCACAAGCCAGCAGAAAGGGGAAGTTCTTTGTTAATCTAAAATTAATAAGTTGACAGGCCAGAGCCACAGTGGTTACAGAGCTCAAGCACTGCTTTAGCACCCAAAGGACAGAACACTGAGTCATGGAATGTTACCAATGGAACAACCCCTTTCATCTTCACCGCCTGGGCAGTCTTTAATCCCATCACAGCTGCAGGCATAAGTTATACCATCGTCACATGGGTTGGGGCCCTGCTGGTCTGAACGACACGTTGGCCGTGCTGGAGAACAGAGCCATTCATTTTCTTAACTTTGCAAGTACTCGTGAAAATAACATTTAAGGGTTTTGTTATAGACAAGAAAAATTTAGAATGTGGACACCAAGAATTATTAATTCTGCATCATCTCACCACAAATACACCACTTAAAGTAACACGTTTAGTTCAGTACAGCAAAAAAATTTAGTCTTTAGGAAACCACAAAGTCCTAAAACCCATTTTGTTTGTAATTACAGTATTTAACTAAAATATCTATAAATTGTAAAATAAACTAACAGCAGGCCAACTAACTCTCAGGGCCACCACTTTTCATACAGCTTTGCAAGAAGGCTATGCTCCTAGTCCACCAGTGCTTATCCTTCCCTAGTAGTTAGCAGTGTCACCCTAAATATTTTGTTTCTGCAATTATTTGTCTTTTTGGCCATCTAGTAGCTTCTTATACCATACGAGTGTCTAGTCATGACTGTAGTGGTGTAAGTGATTTGGAGCATAAACGTGCTTTGCTTGAAACTTCGGCTCATGATGTCATGACACAACAAATACATTTTGAACAGTTATGTCAAATTGTAACCATGGTCAACAAGTCATAAATCATCCACATGCTACCATTCCTTCATGAAGAAATGTTGAGAACCTAAGAAATAGACAATTCTATCCGAATTTGTGAGAGGACCATTTGGTGTGTAAAACATGAATCAAATCTTTCACAAATGCAGGAATAATCAGTTAACCCTTACATTTTAAACCTTATGCCCCTTTATTCAAGAGTGGGACTGGGATGACTTAGCCCCAGATTCAATTCCCACATTTAACTTCAAAATTTATGCTTTGCAATAAAGTATGAGTTTAAAAATTAAATGAAAATTACACAAGATTATTGTTCAGAATGGTTACATAAAGTATGGCTTAAGGTGAATATGAAAGGTAGCTGTCTGAGCAGTACTATCAGTTACTGCAAAGATGCTTCAGAAAATGTTAGGAAAACAATGTGTGTAAAATCAAATATATACTATATTGTAAACAGACTTACTTTAATTACACCTTAAGATAGCAACGTATCTTGGCTACTTTGCCTGTGATGTTTAGAGCTTCACGTTAGTAAATTTCAGAGGTAGACATTTGTAAAAGACCTAACATGACACACACAAATCACAATAACTTCATATAACAAATGAACAAATCTACAAGGTAGAGGTAGAATATCTGGTTGACAGAGCCCGAGTGCATGGGGGAGGGGGGGGGGGGGGAATTGTGTGAAACCCCAGTTAGGCTTTGGAAAAGCTTCGGGATCCTCGTGAGGGCAGTAGCACTCCAGGTTGCAATTCCTTTGACCATGTCGTGGTACAGACGACTAAGGTGCATCTGGAACATCCCGTGCGTAGGTTCGAACCCTCTTCAAGACCCATGTGGATTTGTTCATTTGACATAACATGAATTGTCTAAAGAATCATTCAGATTCCAATAATACAAAGGATTAATTAAGTTTGAATTAAACTTAATAATGAAATATTTATATAATTTAACATACAGATATTAAAAATACATTCATACTATACTTTCCAAAGTATTAAATAAAATTAAGATACCTCAGAAAAAATATTGGTCCTCAAAATTAAAAAATTATTGAATAAAATGTACATAATTATTTTCAAATTTAATAAAAAAAAATCATCTATGGTACAGTATAATCCTGCATCAGATCATGTCATATCCCAAGGTCCTCAAGAGACTACAACCACAGGTAAATTGAAACTGGATTATTTCCTATTTAAAGTTAATAGACCATAATACAGTACATGTATTCCATAAGAATCACTGTAGAGCAGTGCATATGTGGCTTGGAAGTACTGTACTGCAGTGGGACAACAGAGCCTAATTATAAATGGCATCTAACCAAGCTATCCCATGAGCTTATATGGTATATATCAGTTTTTGTTCATGCAAAATAGCAACCATAATAATAAGAAGTCTTATAAGAGACTCCGGTAAAAGTACATACATACAAGATGAGTTACAAACCGAATGTTGGATTTCTAGGTAGAGCTAGAACATACTATCTTCATACTCATCTTCACTCAAAATTGTGAAGTTTCTATTTCAATGTGAGCCACTTCAACAATGGTGCTTCTGTTGGGAGCACAGAACTGCTATGTGCTATATTAGTTTGGGATCATCAGTCACTGGATTTCTTATGCCTACCGGGAACCACGAGCCAGAACATGGTCCCCTCAAAGAGGCGCAGAGAGCAATGGCCTATGAGCACTTTACATTTAATGTATGTCGTAATTGTCATCGACCGGGGAGAACACCCAGAAAGATAGGCAAAATAAAACGGACTACAATCTGATGAAAATTGTGAACTACGTTCGAACATAGCAAAAGAACTCTCCCCAGAAAGAACACAAACAAATAACACCTCATCCAACTAGCACTCCCACTCGTTAGGGTCAGCTCGATCACCTCTGGCCTCAATTTCTTTTTCTTGATTTTGCCCTGTGGCTGTTCCAGCAGTGTGTATGGTGTGGTGGCCAGGTATCATCTTGTACGCGGAGCAGCATGTGCCAAGGGTGATCTTCCCAAGGTAAGTATTACCCTTGCATTTCAGGGTTATCTTCCTTGGGGCGTTCAGGACTCGCTCCCTTTTGAGGACTTTGTCACTTGGCATTTTCCTCGCCCTTTGGGTGCGTCAAGGGTCTTGGGTTTTCCGTCTTGCCCCATGTGGGAAATGTTATTGGCTGGGCAGGGCGCACCGAGGCCAGCGCAGCTTGCATACGCAGTTGCCGACGATTCTCTTTTGCTGCAGTTTGTCTTGTGTCTTCAGGGTTTTGTTTTTCTTTTAGAGCATTTTTGCTTTTTGTTCACGGAAGTGTTCTATCTAGCTTCTTATTAGGCAAGCCTAAGTTGTGTTGTTGGTCCTCCTCTGTTGTCCTCGAGGTTTCACAGCTGCTACTGCTGGTCAGTTTGCTTGCTGACAGACAGGGTACTACTGGCTTAGCTAGCCCAGTGTCTGGGCTTCCAGTAGGGATTACTTATTCTATGGGCCCTGGAAAACCCCAGTGGGCTCAAGGGTACCATGGATGCGTCTTCCGTATCCTCTCTCGCCTTTTGCGAAGTCGAAGGTTGTTCGTCGCCCCTGCCTCAGGGAGATGATCTTCCGTACTGCCACCGTCATGCTATGGAAACAAATGGGCAGAGTTTCTTACACTCTGATGCCCCTGTTCACCTTGCAGTAAATAGGTACAGTACCTGGGAGTTAAACAGCTGCTATGGGCTGCTTCCTGGTCCTGGGGGTGTGTAACAAAAAAAAAAAAAAAAAAAAAAAAAAAAAAAAAAAAAAAAAAAAAAAAAAAAAAGAGGCCTGATCGAGGACACGGCCGTGGGGACATTAAGCCCCGAAATTATCTCAAGATAACCTGTTATTATATTGATCTCAATTTATGGGTTATCACTACATGGTCACATTCATTAAATGCCTTCACAAAACCAAGTATACAACATCTACATCTTGTTTTTCTTCTACTGTTTCTATGATTTTGTCATAGTGGTTAAACAATTGTTTAATGTAGGATCTTCTTGCTCTAAATCCATGTTAACCTGGATTGTGAAGTTCATTGTTCTCATAATAAACTTACATTTTTTTTAATAATATGATATGCCAGTGCATGGCATTTTACTTAGAAGAGAAAGATGTAATGAATGACTATCATTGGCAATTAGTATCAAATACCAACTGGACAAATATTGCAAATTATATACAGTATCATTCTTGGATAATGGGAGCATATTCCATTGTCAAATTTGGCATGTCAGGCAGTTCAAATTTAGCAGATTGTAGGTCAGGCTTTTTTATGAATTTTGCTATTGATTATGTGACTCTGGGGGATGCCTTTTGGATAGGGTTTGAAGTGCACTAATATAATTTTGGAGATTTTTAATATCTCTTTGGGTTTGGGTCTTTTTCAACTAATATTGCCAATCCCTCATCTATCCTCTTAAATTCCCCTACCATTTTTTTTAAGTCATGAATTGTTTGGTGGGGGTTATCTCAACCACCCTCTCTGAAACCATCTCAATTGAAATATTTGTTCCCACTAGTTGCATAAAGTCCTTACTAGTGCGCTACTCTAAATGTAATTCCAAAAACTCTTCTGTCACCTTCAATTGGGTCAATAGTTATTTTCTTTGTTAGGTCAACTATGTCTTCAGTAGCCTTCAAATTCTCTTCAAACACCTTACAATAATTCACACACTGAACCACTGAACTTCATTCCATGACATGCCATGTTCTTCACAAACTCACATTAAAATTGTTTCCAGAAATCCTTGAGGTTAGTGATTACCCCATACATTGTTTGAAATGTCTTGGAGAAACCTTTACTAGTGTAACATGCCTTTAGTGGCCTTATGAATCCCAGGTCCACAGGTTGCAGCAGATAATGCTGGTTTTGGAGGCATAAGCACAACCTCAGACATCATTATTTATTATTATCCAAACATGGGTGTCCAGGTGAATTGTCAAACGAGTAAAATTTTAAAATAAAATTTCTTTTCAGGAACAAAATTATTTAAAAACCAGACTTTAAAAATATATTCCCTATTATCAAAGCGTTGGAAGCACTCTGCCACACAATTGGCAAAGCCTATTTTAGCACATTACTGAAATGGCCATTATCCTGAATGGTACATAAACAGTGGCTTGAGTTTACCATCATCAGCAGTATTTCCTCCATGCAACAGGGACTAGATAAAATCTTAATGTTTAATGGAACCAACTTACAAGCTCGAGGACCTACTACAGGGCCCTTCCCAGAAAAAGCATTTTTACTTTAATATTTGTTTATAGTAGATATGGAAAGGGACTTCCTTTTTATTATTAATAATGCAACAAAAATGAATTACAGTACAGGACAGTACAGCACTTTAACCATGTATCCTGCTAGAAAATAATGACTAAAAAGCTTATTTACATTTTTTGTTTAATATGAAAAATTAAGGATTTTTATATGTATACTATAGACAGAAAGAGCAGGTCTTTTTCTTACAAGAAATTAGAAAATAAAAAATTATATAATTTAGATAATTACTTATCCCCAAATGAACCCTCATTTGCAACTAGCTACAAATTATGAAGAATGTAGTGAATGGGAACAGTATGAAAGATAGCAAAAATAATAATTCAATCTTTTTCCTCTCAACATGATAATAGGATAATATAGCTGGCCAATGACTGGATTCTTTTGCAGGTCACTTAAGCTAAGTAAATAGTTCCTTGAAGGATAGTGCCAATATATTCAGCAACCTCAGCTGAAGCAGTGCTATCAGTGCAAAACCATTACAGGTCTGTGACAATGTATACTTAGGAAAAACACCAGAAACTTAGATGCAAAAAAGTGAAAATAATTTTCCATGATCTATCAAGAACAATAACACTGCTTGCATCATACACAAATTAAGAATAAAACCTCATGAGCTTTAAGAACACTACAGAATAATCAACATCAAATAATTACATCAAATAATTTCAAAATTATTTGATCAGAATCAAGAAAATTTCAGTAATAAACAAAATTACCATTTACTATTGCTTGAAATGGTTCTTTTGATTAGCAGCTTTATAATAAATTATAAATGCCAGTGGTATGAGCATTTTATCAGATCCTATGTAATATGTACATAAATAAATTGTTATTATTATGCTAACTTGTTACTGGAAAGTACTGAAATATTTGTGAAAAGCTGAATCTCACTTGCTTATTACCTCATATTCACCTCACTTTCTCTAACTTCACAAGCCACTAGCGCCATGCTTCTGCTAAATCTTCTAATGCCCCTTCAGGCAAAATACCATCCTCAATAGTCAAGTCTTTTCTTGAATTTTTCTAAATAGCTGTTATGTTTTAACATAAATCCCACAATACCATGTATCACAAATCAGTTTTCCATTATATAGTACTATATACAGGTACTGGTAATTTGAAGATTGAGAAATTATAAATATGGATCGTTATGAAGGTTGGAAAAGCAACAAATATATAGCCATGGCATAATAGTACTCACATGGCTCACATTCTTCCTCATCTGTGCTATCCATACAATCCAGGCTCCCATCACACCTCTTTTCCTTGGGTATACACCGAATGTAATCACACAAAAATGTGCTAGGAGCGCAACCTGTACAAATCATACCAGTATGATTCATTGGCTTGTTTCACCAATACACAAACGTGCACGGACACGGACGCAGGAAAACACTCAAAACAAAGTGTGGAATCAATACCAAAAGTTTCCTAACCGAAAAATCTGCCCAGATATTGAAACAGGACAAAGAAGAATAAACTATTAAGAAAAGAGGGGAGAAATTATTTTAAACAAAGTAGAAAAAAGAGGAAGCCAGGACTGAGTTTACTATTTAAATTAATGTAAAGAAAACTGAAGGAGAGAAAACAAACTGAAAATATAACTACTAAATCAGAGATAAACATCAAATTCCACAGTGTGCAGTATTTATATAGGAAGAGGATTTTAACATGCCAGACAAACTTCCAACATCCACATAAAAGAAAATTCAATAAAAAGCAGAAGGGAAAGTATATTACTTGTCATCTGTCCATCTATTGTCAATACCCCATTCCCCACTTTCATGAGGTGGGGGCATTAGCCAGGAAAATAGGTAAATAATATAGGAAAAGGAAGTCATGGATACTCAACAAGAACTATATAATGTGTTCATTCATGTTATCATGTCCACTGCCATATTTATCATGCATAAACAAATGCTTCCACATTAAAGCAATCAATAGGCTCTGGAACCTATACACCAGTTGATTAATGGTCAAGAGATGGAACAAGAGCTACAGTTCATTCCCCACAAATGAAACTAGGCAAGTAAAACAATACCCTGCTGAGTCACTAAACCAGGTGTACAGTGCGCCTCAGAAATTGTCATATACAACACTGCACAAATGCATTTACTCCCTATTTACAAACCACTTCTACCTAGCCTTGTCCTTAACCACATCCTCTTATGTTGTTTACACTCAATCCACACTCACTCACTCACTCACCATGTCTTCCCATCTTCTCAGCCTCTCTTCTCTTCTTCCTTTCCTCAAGGAAGCCAGCTGAGGGTTAGGTTGCATGGTGGCAGGTTCAGCACCATTAAGTTCGAGCAAGTTTTGAGTGAATTTATTGTTTCATTTCAGTTATTTGTGGAGTTATTTGTCAGTTTTGAGGCTTTGTTTTCTGTGAACCATCCAGTTGTCTGTAAAGCTTTGCTGACTTTCTGGATCCTTTCCCGGTGGGGTGGCGAATTGTCACTTGCTCCCTATGGCTCTTTGAGGGGGGGATGGGGGGGACCAGGTTCTGACTCTGGTCCCCAGTAGGCTAAACAGATCTCCTGCGACTGACGTAATCCTTTAGGTGGAGCAATCTCACCGAGTTGGCTTCACAGAGCCACCGAGGAGCTCTACCTCACAGATAAAAAAAATCAATACAGATCATACTGTTCATAAACAAGGTTAAACCAGAAGACATTACCCTTGATAAGGATATCTAATAAAATATGAAATGAAATTAGTTCAAAAGGCATTATAGTACTCACTTGGTGTTACACATCTTGCCTCATCTGTATTATCCTGACAGTCTTGGTTCCCATCACACTTCTTATCATTGGACAAACACCGGCTGCCATCACACACAAACTCCGAGAGAGCGCATCCTGTGCATGTCACACCAGCTAGATTCATTGGTCTGATACTCCAAGACACACAAACATCAAGACAAACAAATACACTCAAGATGTGTAGACATGACAAGGACCAGAGAGGATACACAATCAAATACCAAGAACACTAAAACCATCAGGGTTTAGCTAATAACACTGACTGACTACTCTACATATGAATGGACAGCATTATACCATTAAACCCCAAACTTTTATCAAGAGGGAGAGAAAACTTTGGCCACCATGCCTGAACTCAGATACAATAATCACACTGATCTTTAATTTTTCCTAAGCTTATTGCATTTTTACTGTTTCTTAACTAGGTCCTTAATTGCATTCTTGAATTTTTTTTATAACTCGGAAGCCATCCCTCTATGGTAGTGGTCAGGTCATCCTCAGGAAATTCTCTTCAAAGAGCAGAAGTGTACAAGATGACAAAAGTCACTGGATACTACTCAGCAAATAAAAAGGATTTAACAGTATAATTGGCCCTCACATAATGGGAATTTATATAGTGCATTTTTGTCAGAATAGTTTCAGCTTAGTAACCAAACTTTAAATATGATGCATCATATTAAATATGATGTTTCCCCTCTGGAATGGGTGCAACAACTCTACTCACTGCCATCTTCCCATCCAGTTTCCACTACACACCCAACTATCCAATACCATAAACACTCCCACCCACCCACCACCGCCACTCACCCACCAACACTACCACTCCATGATATGATTTGACTACATTTTATTTTCACTTCAAATTTAATTTTCTTAATTTTTTATGTGGATCAACGGAGGACTTGGTTGACATCAATTTGGAGGATCGTTGCATCCTCAATGGATGCTACTCTCAAAGATTCTAGTAACCTCTGCCAAGAGTATCTTGGACTCTATAATCAATGTAATTTAATACTTTTACAAAGACATTCTTCTTGGCAACCTTTTGAAGGTTTTGACAAGGTGTGGCATAAATGACCGGTCTATACTTTTTTGCAATTGTTTACTGCCTCCCTTTATTAAGCAGGAATATTTCATGACATGTTAAATTCAAGTAATGAAAGCTCTCAGTCATTAGTTTACTTAATAATTACTTCCTTATTAATGACTTGCTTGGTCTCTTCTATACAAGAAGTTAATATCGTATTTGCCTCTCTTACACACTGTTTAGATACAGACAAATGTTCTCGGCGATATGTCAGTTGTGTCCTCCCTCTCTATAATATAAATTAATCTGTCCCATAGGGATCAAGTTACATCATCAATACACAGTATTTTTGGACAATAGTTGTGAAAAGTCTGCCTATATGGAGGGGCTCATCTGCACTATTACCCATATCTGAATTATTTCACTCAACATTTGAATATGGCATAGGAAGGGGCAGAGTTTCCATTAGGAGCAGCAGCACCATTAATCATTCAACTCGGGTCCTTTATTTTTCAGCACCAGAACATTTATGACAGCTGTATATCGAGGCTTGCTCATCTCTAAATATCAACCCACCCTTCTGTTCAGATACTACTTGTAACTATGTGCACCATTGTACATATATTGACATAATGGATAATTAGATAGAATATTTTGGTACTATTCACTTTTAGAGAGTCCAGGAATAATACAGTAAAGCAAAACACCAAACTTAAATATTCCTAGGCCTAGTATATCACATACATGTACTAGGCCTAACATGTATTAGGCTTAGAATGGGTTAGGTTTGGTTTAATTTGCAACAAATACAAAATCTTTTCTGGTTTGTCCAAATTCAGCAGTACCAAATTCTACTTTCTAATTCTGCATTACATCACTTTATGTTCAATGGTCCAGATTGTTACTATAAGCACTATCTAAACAGGAGGATGGGTTGAAAATATTCATATGGGTAGCCACCTAATTAGGAAACTTAATTTCAAAATTTTCCATCTTCATAAGAGTGAGGAGACAATCAGCAGGAAATAATGGAAAATTATTCTTTGAATTGGGATCAAGATAATTAGAATAACATGACTTTCAACAACACTTTTCTCACTTGTTACCTTCCTAAACTAATACTAATGCATCATTATCAATGGTTTAAGGTCAAAATTTTCCGACCCATGCAAAGATTGGGGCTATAATGATTTAAGAGCATCAATTTACTGCACAAGAAATCAAGTCACAAAACCACACAAATGAGACCGAGGTATACAATTATTCCTTCAATATATGAGTAGCAAATAAATGGAACAAACTGTAGGCAGATGTGGTAGAAGCTAACTTCCTCCACAGCTATAAAAAATAATCAAAGCAATATGAAGCCGGTAGTAGTAATTGTCCCAGAAAACCACACACAAGCACAGATAGCATAAACAACACATAAGAAACCAGGGAACTGAGTGGGAGAGATTGAAATGTATATACTAGAACCAGAAGCGAGATGAATATGTTGAGGTTTTATGTTTAGATGACACAGTCAAGACTGATAGAGCATAAAAACCAGACTAGTCAAAGTTCCAGATCCTAGTCAAACTATGAGGAAACGGCAGGAAAGGTCTAAGAGACATGACAAAGTAGGAAAAAATTAACTGACAAAGAGCAATATGTTTTTTAAATATTTAACATTTTTGGGGAAATTTTCATCAATGAAAGGGAGCAGAAAAAATCGCGGAATTTAGAGACAACACCATCAATAGTGTCCAAGAAATGTGTAAGTACTTCATTCATAATGATGTGCTGCCCGAAATCTTAGCAAAGTATCCAAAATTTGCTTACTGTAGGTAATGCATGCACATGACTGTAAAGCTGCCGCCTAGTTGGGTGGGTGTGGAGCAAGACTAGTAACAGTGTGACTCATCATAGATGTAAAGTGCCATAGTTATTGTTGCGAGCCTCTTGCTGAATCACTTGTGACAAAAGATTATTGATGTTTGTATTAGTATGGATGATTAAATATCTATGTATATATATGTATATGTATATATATGTACATGTATGTATGAGTATGTGTACATGTATATATAACATTAATAATTTTGTAATTAGCGTCAAAACATTGTTATTTGCTTAGCTAAACGAATTAGAGGGTTCAGTTCCTGAACCGATTATGTGCCTCTGTAATCCTTTACACCACCGCACACGGGATGGGTATGGGGTGCAAAATAAAGAAATTGAGAAATTGAATTGCAGATGCCTGACAAGCAGAGACAGTATGATAAATGCAAGGTTTAAGTGACATGCTCGTTACATAAAAGTACACGAGAGATTTAGACATGTGGGGACAGACAACTCTAACAATGGACCCTGAGAAAAGCTACATAAATATTTTTACAATATTAGGAAAACTACCAAAGAGCTAGAGAGGTACCACCAATAGAAAACCATAAATGTTAGTGTCCCCTCCAAATGAATATTAAATAAAAATATAAAAATTTAAATTTTAAAATGGCTTCAAGAACTTTGAAGCCACATTGAAATGTTTTAGAAATTATCCACATTACACTTCCTACCTAAACTGTTAGTCTAGTACCTGCACTAAAAGAGGCATACAATAGTTGATTGACAGTAGAGAGGAGGAACCAAAGAGCCAAAGCTCAACCCCCCACAAGCACAAGTAGGCGAGTACAAGCAAAACTGATAAAGTACAAGACCCAAAATTAATTGGATTCCCAAACTTAAGAAATTGAGTTACTAGCAAACATTAAAGACTTTGGCTATGCCAAAATGTTAAGCAGAAAAAAGTGAAGTGATATGATACAGTAAACATACATGGAAGAGATTTAGAAACTAGAATTAAAAATAACAAGAGACCATAGTTCTAAATTGCAGATGAAGATATGTAGAAAAGATAATAGGAAGTATTTTTATTACCAATAGATTTATGTAATGTATGTAAGGACGTATGTAATATTTATTTGAAGATGAAACTCCAAGACAAGCATTGTGTGCTAAAACTGCTGGAATCTTTCATATGGTTTACAATAAAACATGCAAGGAGAGGACACCACAAGCACACCACTCTACCTATTGCTACTGTGCACATAAATAAAACACAATAATGCCACAAATAGTCATGGAAAAACAAACAAATAAATTTTAAAGTTACATAAAATCTTTTACATTTTACAGAACATTTTATATATATGTATATACTGTATTGAAGTACAGAATATGAAAATATCCTATCGAAATTTAACCTGATAGACTCTTCACTGCAAAATAAAAGTGATGAAAAGACTTTTGTACAAATTTGCATGCAAGTTAAAGGTGTCAGATATGTGACTGGTCAAAACTAATAATGTCTAATTACCTTCTCAGTTTCAGAGATAATATTTTCTAGAACAAAAATTAAATAAATAAAATAGGTCCTAAGAAATTCTAGTCACATGGAAGGAATGATGTATCAAAATATTGTGAAAAATCAGTCAAGAAAGAACTAATCTAATTTTAAGAATTGATAAAAACCATTGTGTGTATAAAAAACTACCAAATACATGTACATAAGATAACTATGAAGGTAAGATTCTATTCAATAACAAGTTGAATAAGTTGGAAGATCACTTGTAGTCATCCTTGTTTATGACAGCACTCGACCTTAATTTGAATGCAAATTTAACAAATAATACAATATATTTAATCACTCGAAAACTTGATTTTGTTTGTTAGACTTTTGTTTTATAAGAAGCAAACAAGTTTATATCAGTGTTCAACTTAGGGTTAGAGCAACTAAGAGATAGCATTATAGAAAACTAGCACTTAAAACTCAGCCAAATGATTAGTCTGAAGCAGTTAGCCATGCTCTGTACTAGTTGTATGCCCACACATGGTTACAGTACCAGTATCATCAAGAATAATAAAATCTCAATATTAAGCATAATGAAAATAAGTCTCCTGTAGAGCAAATGTTGAAAAATATTAAAAATTAATTTACAATAAAAATACTGATGTCAATTTAAATTTTGAGAATTTTGAAAAACAAATCAAAGTTTTACAATCTGGGCATAATAATGACATTAGAGTCAAATTAAATATAATTAATAATAATTTAAAAACCCAAAAGCATATTACCAAGGAAAATATGATTAATGAAGTGACTAATATGAAGTGTTATTAAGTGCAGTATTCTCCTCACCTGATAAACCATGATATATCTATGAGGTACATGTTTTATGAGTACTGTTATTGTAGAATATACAAGCGTTATAATGAGGCAAGATATGCAAGGCATTTCAACCTACCACAGTTGTCCTCATCATCTCCATTTGGACAGTCGGCATTACCATCACAGAGTTGTACTCGACATATGATAGCGTTATCCTTACAAGTATACTGGTCATCCCCAGGGCAACCTTTCTGGTCAGCTGTGTCTGTAGTTATGCAGGTTTTGTCATGCAAGCCAACAATTAAATACTACTTCGGAGCAGCACAAACCAGAGACAATGTTCCACATAATATTACACATGTGATGAGAGAGCTGCTTTGGTTTAAGATCTATGTGGATATGCCCTTCCTCTAGACCAAGCCCAGAGACTTAATACCTACAAGATTAAGCTTAACTTAAAAAGTTAAGCTTAAAAGTCTGTCGTCTCATTAGACCCCATTTATGGTTTGTGGAGTTAAGAGTACAAAAATAAACTTCAGTGGTAATTAGGACAACTTCCTCTTTTTTTTGTTTTTTTCTACCCTCATAGAAAACCTTTTAAATCATGCTCATATGGTTTGTGCTACCCTGAAGTATGATGAGGCATAGTACGGCAAATGGACTCATTCATGATATATTTTGTATACTACATAGTGATTTACAAGCAAATTTAGTACAGTACTGTAATTTATGTTAATATGTTGTCTCCATCAAAATTAATGCTTTTGAAAATAATATATTCTATTAATTTATATTGTTTGTATACATAGGAGAGAATCTGTTTTATGCTTTGTAATAACTAGTAAAAGAAAAGGCTTCCCAGCCTGCAGAAATACTTTATACATGCTTCAATGTAAAATTAAGTAATATGAATAGCAATTCAACAATTACACATGCATCTGCATGACAATATATGTATGTACTGTATTAATAAAATAATTACACATTTAATAAAATGCAAAGATAATACTAAATATAGATATAAAATAAGTGCAATTATAATATAATTATGGATTACGCAATGAAAGCCAGGCAAAATAAAAGCACAATTAGCAACACAAAAGCAGTAATATTTGAAGTTTATAAAATTACTGTCTATTCTAGATATCATTCTTTTAACTTGATATTTGTTAAAAATGTTGATAGCAATTCTAAAGATAGTTGAGAGAGTAAACATCTATAAACTAGTGATACACCACAAACAAAAAATGTATCATGCACCATTGCATGTACAGAGCTGTTTTTGTTTACTGTCATCAACAAATTCTTGGGTAATAATATCACCAAGTACACTAAAAATAAAATAAGCATCATGGATGTTCACAATGTCTTGTAACTCCTCACTAGATAAAAGTAAGTCAGATTGGTAAGGAAGTTCTCGTATTCAGTATGTGTGGTAAATTAGTAGAAAGTTTTGAAGGAAGATGTCATAACATCACAATCCACAATTTTTAAAGTAAATATGACAGAACTCCAACATCAAAAGACGTAAAAATGCATCAGGTACAAAAAGCTAGAAAGTTAGACATGAAGATCTAGACCTCATTACTCAATAGATATTGATAAGCAAGCACCCCAAACTAGGCAAGTTGACATTGTTCTGAAGCCAAGTGGAAACATGCAATGCCTCCAGTCAACTCTTTTCCTGCACTGCATCTAATGAAATGGAGAAGAAAGTTCTTCTGGAACACCCAAGTAACTTGGCAAGGGTATGCAACCCCATTGATTCTGAACAGCAGCTGGTGAAATGTTACCACAACTCTAGCACTACACCAGTCCTAACAAAGACCCATAAGCAAAATCTTGAAGCTTTCTCAAAGATTTAGGTTCAATGCTCACTGAAACAGAGCCTTGGGCTGGCAGAGTCCAGTTGCAGTGCTGAAGCATGGCAACTGAAATACCCTCTGTAGTACCTGTTTCTGCCCACCCTTCACAGAACTTACGAGTAATCACAACCTTTAACCTCAACAAACATTTTTTGTAACCTAATGACTTAAAATTATAAATAAAATATAATTGGAGAAGTGGCAAAAATTATTAATGTGAATTAAGGAAAACCTGTAAAACTACCTACAAATTCTAATATCCACAATAGCATGACACATCATACTGAAAATAACATCCCTTGACATCAATGCATATGTACTTTTCTACCTGTGCTTACCTAGTTGTGCCTACAGGGAGTGATACCCAGCTCAAGAGCCCCACCATATAATTATTGCACCTGGTACATTTATACCTATTATTGACATACTAATACTTCTTCATACATGGCCTTCAAGCTTAAATTGGTGGGTTGCTTCTGCTACCTCTGCCTCATACCCAGTCCACTTTTTTACCAATTATTTTTTTACCAATTATTACAATGAAATATTTCTTTACTATACAGTATTATATTTCTTAAATATTTATTATATATAAATATATATAAATAAATAAATATATATATGAAATATATAAATATTTCTTAAATATTTTCTCTGGCTCATTTGGCTCATTAATTTCAACCTGTGCCCCCATATTCTGCTGCTAGAGTACTGTAGACTGTATACAAAATTATGATTGACAGGCTATTTCTATTCACTTTGCCTATACTTGTCGGTATCAAATATGTTGTGATCATATTACCTCTTGTCTCTTTCTCTTCTATTGTTATTAGATTTAATAACAGCTAGTTTCTCCAATCTTTGGAAATTGTCTTCTGGCAAATCTTTGGAACTTTTAAATTTTATTCTTGTGCTTTACCAGGTATGAGTTTCGTACTGAAACTGTATACACTATGGATTGGCTTAACATATGTTGTGTATATGGAGAATATACACACATGGAGCTAACCTCCATATATTCCTTATTGGAGATTATCTCCATATATTCTACAATCCTCTTTCTGATAATCTCCAGTATTTTACATTGAATACATATCAGTGACACAGGTCTTATTTGACCTATATGGTCAAGTCAATGGTGCTTTGCTCACATCTAGTTCTTCCACGCGTTTCTTAACCTCCTTTTTATTTACTACCATTTCATCTATAATGATTTCCAACCTTCTATCATCACTAGAATTAGCTTTCTACTCTGGCTTCATCTTTAAGACCCCATGGAATCTTCTATTGAGTTTTTGTAGTCCTCCCTATTGCTTTATGAGAACATTCCATCTTATTTTATTCTTAATAACTTGGTCCCTTGCTGTTGTTTTCTTCTTACATAGCTTTGTAAACATTTTAGTGCAATTACCCTTATTTATTACTGAAATACAACTGAAAGTTAAATTCTTACAACCCACTCCTGACAAAGGCATATAATTTACTACCAGGAGGCTACCCTGCCCAATAGCATCAGAAATCTTCCTTTTACCTCATATCAAGTATTGTATACAGTTATAAAAGTCAATATACACAAGCTATTTCAAGAAATAAAAAACTACAGTATATGCAAGCATTATAATGAGGCAAGATATGCAAGGCATTTCAACCTACCACAGTTCTCCTCATCATCTCCATCTGGACAGTCGACATTACCGTCACAGAGTTGTACTTGACATATGATAGAGTTATCCTCACAAGTAATCTGGTCATCAGCACGGCAACCTTTCTGGTCAGCTGTGTCTGTAGTCATGCAGGTATTGTCATGCAAGCCAACAATAAAATACTACCCCGGAGCAGCACAAACCAGAGACAATGTTCCACATAATATTACACACGTGATGAGAGAGATGCTTTGGTTTAAGATCTGTGTGGAGATGCCCTTCCTCCAGACCAAGCCCAGACACTCAAGAGTATGCCTAACTTAATAAGTTAAGCTTAAGCTTATAAGTCTAATGTCTCATTAGACCCTATTTATGCAAGCGATGAGTCACAATAACGTGGCTGAAGTAGTTTGACCAGATCACACACTAGAAGGTTAGGTGACGATGATGTTTCAGTCTGTCCTGGACCATTCTCAAGTCGATTGTGACTCGAGACAATCGACTTGAGAATGGTCCAGGACGGGCCGAAACATCGTCATCCCTTTACTTTCTAGTGTGGTCTGGTCAAACTCCATTTATGGTTTATGGAGTTAAGAGTACAAATATAAATTTCAGTGGTAATTAGGACAACTTCTCTTTTTTTGTTTTTTCTACCCTCATAGAAATCTTTTTAAATCGTGCTCATTTGGTTTGCGCTACCCTGAAGTATGATGAGGCATAGTAGGGCAAATGGACTCATTCATGATATATTTTGTATACTACATAGTGATTTACAAGCAACTTTAGTACAGTACTGTAATTTATGTTAATATGTTGTCTCCATCAAAATTAATGCTTTTGAAAATAATATATTCTATTAATTTATATTATTTTTATACATAGAGAATCTGTTTTAGTAATTTGAATAGCAATTCAACAATTACACATGCATCTGCATGACAATATATGTATGTACTGTATTAATAAAATAATTACACATTTAATAAAATGAAAAGATAATGCTAAATATAGATATAAAAATACGTGCAATTATAATATGATTATATTACACAATGGATATGGATTACGCAATGAAAGCCAGGCAAAATAAAAGCACAATTAGCAACACAAAAGCAGTAATCTTCAAAGCTTCTAAAATTACTATCTATTCTAGATATCATTCCTTTAACTTGATATTTGTTAAACATGTTGATAGCAATTCTAAAGATAGAAGAGAGAGTAAACATCTATCAACTAGTGATACACCACAAACAAAAAATGTATCATGCACCATTTCATTTACATAACTATTTGTTTGTCATCAACAAATTCTTGGGTAATAATATCACTTCACTAAAGTACACTAGAGACAAGATTAGCAACATGGATGTTCACAATGTCTTGTAAAAATCTCACTATATGAAAGTAAGTCAGATTGGTAAGGAAGTTCTCATATTCAGTATGTGTGGTAAATTAGTAGAAAGTTTTTGAAGGAAGATGTCATGACATCACAATCCACAATTTTTAAAGTAAATATGACAGAACTCCAACATCAAAAGACGTAAAAATGCATCAGGTACAAAAAGATAGAAAGTTAGACATGAAGATCTAGACCTCATTACTCAGTAGATATTGATAAGCAAGCACCCCAAACTAGACAAGTTGACATTGTACTGAAGCCAAGTGGAAACATGCTATGCCTCCAGTCAACTCTATTTTCCTGCACTGCATCTAATGAAATGGAGAAGAAAGTTCTTCTGGAACACCCAAGTAACTTGGCAAGGGTATGCAACCCCGTTGATTCTGAGCAGCAGCTGGTGAAATGTTACCACAACTCTAGCACTACACCAGTCCTAACAAAGACCCATAAGCAAAATCTTGAAGCTTTCTCAAAGATTTAGGTTCAATGCTCACTGAAACAGAGCCTTGGGCTGGCAGAGTCCAGTTGCAGTGCTTCAGCATGGCAACTGAAATACCCTCTGTAGTACCTGTTTCTGCCCACCCTTCACAGAACTTATGAGTAATCACAACCTTTAACCTCAACAAACATTTTTTGTAACCTAATGACTTAAAATTATAAATAAAATATAATTGGAGAAGTGGCAAAAATTATTAATGTGAATTAAGGAAAACCTGTAAAACTACCTACAAATTCTAATATCCATAATAGCATGACACATTATACTGAAAATAACATCCCTTGACATCAATGCATATGTACTTTCTACCTGCGCTTACCTAGTTGTGCCTACAGGGAGTGATACCCAGCTCAAGAGCCCCACCATATAATTATTGCACCTGGTACATTCATACCTATTATTGACATACTAGTACTGTACACCAATTATTATATAGAAATGTTCCCTTACAGTTCTCTAGAGGCTCATTAGCCTCATTAATTTCCACCTGTGCTCCCTCATTCTGCTGCTAGAGTACAGTACTGTAGATTGTATACAAAATTATGATTGACAGGCTATTTCTATTCACTTTGTACTTCTCAGTATCAAATATGTTGTGATCATATTACCTATTGTCCCTTTATCCTTTATTGTTATTAGATTTAACTTTATTAATCTGTTGTCATAGCTAGCTTTTCCAATCTCTGGAAATTGTCTTCTGGCAAATCTTTGGAACTTCTCAATTTTATTCTTGTGCTTTACCAGGTATGAGTTTCATACTGAAACTGCATACACAATGGATTGGCTTAACATATGTTATGGATATGGAGAATATACACACATGGAGTTAATCTCCATAAGGAATATATGGAGGTTATCTCCATATATTCTACAATCCTCTTTCTGATAATCTCCAGTATTTTACATTTAATACATGTCAGTGACACAGGCCTAATGGGTAAGAACACATATCTGCATTTTTCTTGAAAATGGGCACCACATTTCTAGTCCTCCAGGTTTCCAGAGGATTCCCTATTTAATATGGAAATACTATATTTTAAACTTCAATTGTAGTTATCTCCACTGTTTTTTTTCCAACCCGTTCTCGCACTTTCTTACAGTCAATATTGACTTATTAAATACGTGCATATGTGACATACTGAACATACTAGTTTACCTTGAAAAGCTTCATGGAAAACACCGACCTTACCTAACCTTCTTAGTATGTTAAGATAAGCATCTTATTTCCTCGTAATTACAATTATTACTTAACCTATACCTATAATAGGTTATTAATAGGTTAATTATTACTTATCCTATACCTATAATAGGTTAAGTAATAATTGCAATTACGAAGCAATAAGATGCTTATCTTAACATACTAAGAAGGTTAGGTAAGGTCGGTGTTTTCTATGAAGCTTTTCAAGGTGAACTAGTATGTTTAGTATGTCACATATGCACATATTTAATAAGTTAATATTGACTATACGAAATTGCAAGAACAGGTTGTTTTTTTCACTATCCTTGATGAAATTTCGTCAAGACAATAGTACTTTGCTCACATCTAATTCTTTTGTGCATTTCTTAACCTCCTCCTCATTTACTACCATTTCATCTATAATGACTTCCAACCTTCCATCATCACTAGAATCAGCTTTTCACTCTGGCTTCATCTTGAAGACCTCATGGAATCATTTTGAAGACCTTATAGACTCTTATTGAGTTTTTGTAGACCTCCCTATTGCTTTATGAGAACATTTCCATCTTATGAGAACATTTCCAAGTCTTAATAACTTGGTCCCTTGCTGTTGTTTTCTTCTTACATAGCTGTGTAAACATTTCAGTGCAATTACCCTTATTTTTTACTGAAATACAACGGAAAGTTAAATCCTTACAACCCACTCCTGACATAATATAATTTATATAATATATTATAATAATATAATTTACTACCAGGAGGCTACCCTGTCCAATAGCATCAGAAATCTTCCTTTTACCTCATAATATGTATACAGTTATAGAAGTCAATATACTCGAGCAATTTCAAGAAATGAAAAACTACAGTACTAAAAATGGTAAACCATAACAGTACAACATAATCACTGTTGTATATCCGTGCAACAGATTTTGGGGTAAATGCTTGATGCTGTCTATTGTACTCCTTACTTGCAGACATTCCTAGCTTTTGTAGGTTGGGAGATGGAGCTGGAAGGACCGCACATAATAGGCCAAAGAGTAGGCTCACCCAGTACTTGTGCCCATACATTGGTATGAATGCTTGTAACCCATCTTCTTGCTCTGGATTAAACTTACACTTAGCATGTAGCTTACATTTTTCATCCATCCTTCCCTTCAGGATCAGTTCTACAATACAAGATACTCTTTCTCCTAGGACGCGTTCCTTCAATCTCGGCGCCTTCAGAGAGATTCTCACCTTCAAACATCTATTTGAAGCATTTCATGTCAAACCCCAGTTTCTTGAATTCTGTGCCCGCCTCAAAGTATATATTTTGCACCAGCTCACAAAGACCATTTCTGACACATAAACTTTCTCATCACCTTCAAACTTTCCATTTTACTCCTGCATAATTTTTATCTGGTCAACTAAATGCCAATAAAAAATACTAATTATTTTGATGGATGTTAAAAGCCGTGATAAAAATATATAATGCAACAAATTAATAGAGAGCTGAAGACCACAATTATGATACAAGAACATTGAAATACAGCCTTTGACTGTTCAATTAAACTTTCACCTTGGTCAATTGAATGAATTTAGAGGATACTGTCCTACGAGAAATGTTTTCAAGATGGATGGAACACATGCACACAATAAAGGTAAAGATATTATTTTCTCGTGTTGCTGGATTCAGTAATTCATGCTCATTACAGTGTATCAACAAATTATACACAAATATTCGTATTCATAATCAGATGAAATTTCTCACACAAGCATATCAATTTGGCATCACACCAATCAAGAGTTACCAAAAATATTGTGTAGGGAATCAGGAAGCAATTCTAATCAAAAGTAACAATTAAAAGATAAGAAAATATACAGTACAGTACCAAAATACTGTATATAAAAATAGCTAAAAAAATCATTTTGAATCATGTATAAGTAGAACATCACGCAAAGACACGCAGCACTGTTATTAATCAAACCGGACACAACAATACAGCATCACATATATTAATATTCATCTTTTACCAACTTTTTTCTAATAGCTTCCATTATGGATATACTGTGTATATATTAAACAATCAAAAATATATAATATCCTTTAAAATACAGCACACTAGGTATGGCATTTATTAACTGACACTGTAGCAACTTATTGAATTCTGTTATGAAGTACAGTACATATATTTGGAAATTTCTTAGCTAAGTTGCTATACAGCGCATACATGTAAGTTTATGAAGGTTTTCCTTTTAACATAATGTTCCTATTTCTTTGCAGGTAAAATAGGCCTACACTTGCCAGTCCTATGTACAGAAATTTATTATTCTTAGACAAATTATTATAATTGATACTGTATTTTATTAAAAAATAATGTTTTTATTAAGGCTTATTATGAAAGCATGCAAATACTGTACAGTAAAATAAAAAATATTTTTAATATACACAAAAGATGAAATTAAAGTCCATAAAGGCATATTGCATATTACCTGCTTAACAAAACTCTAGAAACAAAACTGGAGCTACAGAACTTACCTACTTGACAGCCATACTCATCAGAGCCATCAAGGCATTCAGTGTTACCATCACAGTGCCCAACACACCGACCAGACGGACACTTCCACTGGTCTGCCCTGCACTCAGGTTGAATGGTTGGGGCTTGAAGCAAAAATAAAATCTCACAAGCATGTCAGACAACAACAATAATACACATATTAACAAAACAGCTGATATTATTCAAACAGAAGCCAATTACCAGACTACAGAAAAAATAAAAACAACACTATTAAAACAAATGCCAAAATACTAACTTATGAACAAAGCCAACATTAAGTTAAAATATAAAGTTTACATAATTAAGGTAAATTAAAATAAATTCAGAAATTAAGAAAAAATTTGGATACAATATAAAAACACACAACTATACTATAAGGCATACCTCCAGGCTCGAAGAATATGAAGTCTTGGCTGCTAACTGGGATGGCACCGAGGACCTGCGAGTCTACAGTATCCTTTACTAGCCTTTCAATGAATGCTTTCTGGTCACTTGCCCATTCATTTGCGATGTCTATTGTCACCATAATATTATTGGATGCCGATTTCCTAAAATAAACATGATAATTAATTACAAAATTACATACTGCATATTGTGAATTTATCGGCTCTCTTTATGGAGAACTCCTTCAATACTTCAAGTCTAGGCAAAGTCTAATGACAGACTATTATGTGGACAAGTTTAATGGGCACCACCTCAGACTATAAGCATTAAACTGAAATTTCACAGTGGAAATCATTACAGTACTATGCCTATTTTAATATTCAGTGGTATAGATTTTGTAATATTTGTAACATTTTTATTTGTTTAGCATTACAAAAATAACTATTTTAAAAGTCTAGTCTCATCATTCTCACATGGTGTCTGCATTCCGTTAAACCATATCTTTTAGATTTTTAATGACCATCAAATGATTTTTAATTTTTCTTATATCTCCCAATCACATACCATTTCCTTTTCTACACTCCCAAACAAGGTCAAGTTTTATTCTAAGCTGAATCACCAATTTGATGTTTCTTGTCAACTTTCTTTTCTGGGAGGGCTCTTATGGTGGAGCCCTACTGCTTGCAACTTGGATAGCTCCACTCAATTGGAATCACACCAGGACCTTGCAAGTCATTGTAAGCCTACAGAGGACCAGATGCCCAAATCTGGAAACCTGGCCTCCTCTATAGAGGTGCAGGAAACTGATGATACTAGATCACTCAGACCAAGGAAGGGACACCAGAAAAGTAGAGCAAACAAAACTGACAACAGCAAAGTAACCACAACATAGAAAATAAAACTCCCAAAACAATCTAACTAGTCATTAACGTGCAATTGGTGTTTGTTGATGATAACGAATTGTATTTTTAGTATATGAGTGAAGCACTTACAGAGTTGTGATTCGAACAGTGGTCATCAGCAAAATACTCTTCGATAAATATTAAAACGTCATCAGTTATGCAGCCTGTCCTCATAAATAAAGGTCAAAGATCATTCCATGCACCCGCCAAACCCCCAGTTTATGAATAAAAAACGGTTCACACACGACTCAACTGATGACGTTCGAACACTTCTCAAACAAGTGCTTCGCAAACAACTTTTGTTGAACCACAATGCTGTAACTGCTTCACCCACGTACTACTTAAACAAACACCAACAGAACTTAAAAACCTAACCTATCCAATGCCTAAATATGCACAGTATGGTAATATATATATATATATAATATATGAATATATTAATTAATATACTCTATTAATTTATACAGTATTTGAGAAAATTCCTATTTTGAGTGAACAGCATGTTGATGAATGATGAAACTGATGCTCGTGTCTTTGGGATTGACCACTGGATGGAATGGACTTGGTCTGAGGACAGGTTGAGTTGTGAGTCGTGTAATACCATTTTTTCATTTATGAACCAAGGGTTTGGCAGCTGCATGATATGAACATTTGGCCTTTGATGAGGGAGTAGAACTGTATTCTTGTTATAAACAACCTCATAGTGCTTCGGAGCTCAAACTGTTTAATATACAGTATGTAAACAAAGTCAATATGATTGTAGAAAGAAATACCTGTACCAGTTTTGTAAGTAGTCACTTAAACGCTGAATAAACCCTGGTACTGACAGGACCTCAGACCAGAACTGTATAATAGTTTTATGAAGCTTGTATACCAACCTGGCCTCACAAGTAAAATATCTCACTTAGTACTTTATGGTCCCCAGCGTACAAAATACAAAGTATTTTGAGAAGTACTCTACATTTTCTATGCATAGGTCAGTTAGGTTAGGTGGGTTGCTTGGGTTCATACATTTCTAATAAGGTTAGGACTTTGTATTTTGTACAATGTAGTAAAACTAGAGAGAGGGCTGTGTGGACACTCTTCTGAGGGCCTCTTTGTCTATGATCCTGAAGGTTGCCCAAAAATTTTGTTCAATTTCCCTCAACAAACTCTTCTGGTAACTATTTGCCCCTCCAAGATTAATACCTTAAACTTAATATTTCTTCTTATCAGCAGTGCCACTTCCCACCTCCCCTTTTTGTCCTTTCTTTTCCTGCTGTGTGATTAACTCGCTCTCTCGATTACCAATGCATAAGAACTGCAGCAGGCTTTGCCTAACCATAATCGTCATAAAGCAGGCAACCCACCCAACCTAATTTACCTTCAGGAAATATTGCATTTGTAATTGTTTCCCAAATTTTTACTATGAGAGATTCAGCTCCCTAACTCTCTCCTTCAGTTCAGCCCTGCTTGACACTCCATCTGTATTAGTGTAACAGACTTTAAGGCTTTGTCTATACTGCTTCAATTTTGGTGGCTCTCGTAGTAGCTTTGAGGGAGTGGAGGGAATGTGTTTGCAGTTGAAGGAGTGTTTTTGCATTGATCTCTGGCAGAGATCTGCAATAGGAGTGGAAAAGAGTGTGTTTGTGGGTCTGGGGCTTAGGGGAAGAGGAAACATTATTAGAGAGTGGATTAAGCAGTACAAGTTGGTTTTGGTTGCTGCACGAGATGATTTGGGGAGGGAATATGAAGGTGGGAAGTTGGTGCATGTGTGAGAGAATGGATGAGGAAAAAAAAAAAGTCTTAAATAAAAGTGTAAATCAATGCTTACCTCATATCTACAACTTTTACATCAGTCTGTCCATGAACTGCCCTGAGAATAACTTCCATAGCACTTCTAATATTCCTTTGCAAGGTAGTATATGTAGCACTTGTTTTATCAGCGTACTGTAGACTCCAGGGTCTAAGCACTTGCATCTTTACCCGATAGATGTCTGTAAACAAAAAAAAAAAAAATTAAAACATTACACATTTTGGAGTGTACACACATTATATATACAGTATATATATACTGAATAAAAACATAACTCATACTGTATAAATAATAAAAAAGTGTGATAGAAGAAAATACTCAACATGTGTTCAGATAGAATTTAAAAGTCTTCTCTGAATACAGTACTATTTATTCTCTCCTTCAAGGCTTTGGGTCACTACAATTGCACCTACAATGAACTTGTCATTCTGTACGTCTGCTCAAGACATACAAAATGATATTACACGTTGCATGGCCTCATAAAACTTTACGTGGTGATAGGTGGCCGTGGGGTCTATCATATGCAGGTCAGCGTCTGCACTTACTGCCTGAACCCTTTTGTGAATTCGTCGGAGATAAAATGTTCTGGGGCCCAAGCCCATAGAGCCTTATCATTTCTTCTTCATATTACTAATTTGATATTACAGGCAAAATGCATGTTCTCATGGTAGACTTGCATTTTGGGGCTTCCTAGATGTAAATAGAGCAACCCTTGAAGTCGACCTGGGCACCGCTGTTTAAGTACTTGGAGCGTCAACCGGCAAATGGAATTTAATGTGAATAAATGTCATGTTCAACATGCTTCCACTACAAGTAAGGGGCATAACTGGCCAACCCCTCACTGTGTTCAAGAGAGAACTTGATAAACACTTCAAATGGATACCTGATCAACCAGGCTGTGATTCATACGTCAGGCTGCGAGCAGCCACATCCAACAGCCTGGTTGACCAGTCCAGCAACGAGGAGACCTGGTTGAGGACCGGGCTCCAGGGACGTTGAGCCCCGAAATCATCCCAAGGTAACCATAAGGTAATGAATGTGGAATCGGAGAAAATAGACCACACACAACTTACAAATTATGTGGAAAGGAATTACAGAATTCTAATAAAGAATGAAACCTAGGGGTGGTTTTGGATAGTAAGCTGTCGTCAGAGAAACACAAAGAACATTGTGAGAGGAGCGTATGCATCGCCTTCCAACTTCAGACTTGCTTTTAATTATATGGATGGTGAAATACTAAAGTAACTGTTCACACTTTTGTCAGACCAAAACTGGAATATGCAGCAGTTGTATGGTGCCCAAATCTCAAGAAGCACAAAGAAACTGAAAAAGGTGCACGGCATGCTACAAATTGGCTTCTGAACTGAAAAACAAGAGTTACGAGGAGAGACTACAGACATTAAACATGCCAAAACTAGAAGATAGAAGAAAAACAGGCAATATGATCACCACATACAAAATTCTACCAGGAAACGACCAAATTGACAAGGAGGAATTCCTTAAATCAAAAACATCATGAACAAGGGACACAGATTGAAGCTAAGGAAACAAAGGTGCCAAAAAAATAAGAGATTTCGAAAAATGAGAAAAAAATGATTTCGGGGCAAAAATTTTCTTTTGCAAACAGAGTGGTAGACGGTTGGAACAAGCTAAGTTAGAAAGTGGAAGAGGCCAAAACCGTCAGTAGTTTCAAAGCATTATCCGATAAAGAGTACTGGGAAGACGGGACACCACGAGCTTAGCTCTCATCCTGTAACTACACTTAGGTAATTACACTCACTTAGGTAATTACATACACAGCTGTAGAATAGTAGGAAACTGGTGCCATACAACCAACAAATTATGTAGAAAGGCATTAAAGAACTAACAAAGAGAGATCTAGGCGTGGTTCTGTATAGTAGACTCACCAGAGAAACACAAAGGACACTGTGCAAGGACCATCTGTTAAGCTTTCTAACTAAAGAATCAATTACATGGATGGTGAATTATTAAAGAAACTGTTCAAGACTTTAATGAGCTCAAAATTGTTATATGAAGTGGTTGTATGGTGCCCATATCTTATGAAGGACAATAAGCTAGGAAACGTGCATAAATATGCTACAAAATTATTCTAGAACTGAAAAAAAAGAGAGCTACGAGGAAAGGCTAGAGGTATTATGTATACCATAGAAAGAGGCAATATGATCACTACATACGAAACAGTAATAGGAATCAACAAAATTGACAAGGCAGAATTCTTGAAACCTTCAACTTCAAGAACTAGAGGTCACAGATTCAAGCTAAGGAAACAAAAGTACTGAAAAATTTAATAAATTTGATAGTTGGAACAAGTTAAGTGAGAAGGTGGTGGAGGCCAAAACCGTCTGTATAGTTTCAAAGCGACATATGACAAAGAGCACAGGATAGATGGGACACTGAGCATAGCTTTCATCCTGTAACTACACTTGGGTAATTACAGACATTCACTCTAGACGAGCAACCTCTCCTCAGGGGTATGTATCCTTCCCTGAGGCAATCACTTTAAAACCACCATGCAATTAGTTATATTATCTACTCTTTATCCATGGTTATGTTTGGTTAACGTTATGTTAGATTAGGCTAGGTTTAGTTCAAGTATGTTTACTGAGACAATAAAATACATCTCAAAGGGATAGAGTAGATTAAGCTATTTCTACCCTCCTCTACTTCAAGTCCCTCAAGGTGCGCACAAATTTAGTGAGTACAAATCCACAAATCACAATACAAGAATCCCATTTAACATTGCAGGTTAATATGGTAAGCACAGCATGTGTGTGTAACATTCTTGGGGCAAAATGCTTGTAGCTCCTAAGTATTGTGTCTATCATACCATTATCACACATCCAAACAATATGATGTGGTACACTACTTATTTTCTTATTTCTATAGTTATCAAACTAGGTTTGATTTGTTTAGGTCTCGTTATATTAAATTAAAACTGTGCATAATTTGCAAAACGTGTGAAATATGAAATTCAAAAACTATTTTAGTAACCCCTAGGATTTTATATATATTAGAAGTACTGTACGTTCCTATATATGATTGTACAAATTACAAATTTCACTTACGTTGTTGCTCTGTACCGGAGCCTTCGATGGCCGAGCCCTCAGCATCCTCATCGTCATACGAATATGGTATATTATGCTGTCTTCGGATGCGCTTGTGGGTGGAAGTAGTCGAGGAGTCCTGCAAGGGGGCCGCCACTGGGGCAACCTCAACCTTGGGCCGGGTCCGCACCACACCTTCGTCGTCAAATGTTAAGTCCTCGTCGTTCTGTAATAGGAAACAAGAAATCATTAACGTTAAGTTGTGTATTGTATAACTAGTAGCGATCCTGGGTGCTCCACTACCCCGTTCATCCTAATCTATTAGGGTTTATGTACCTAAGTGCAGATAAATATTCAAACCTCAAGTACTGTACCAGTAAGGCATTTCCAGTTTTGACAATCCAAGATAGTACCAAAAAGGTAATTGCCTGAACTTCACTACTCTTTACTGCCATAACCCTGGTCCCACTGCTGTGAACTGGTAAACGGAGTGTCTTATTTTCACACACATAAATAACAAAGTGAGTTTATGTTCTATACAATAAGAATAAAATCCTAAGAAGGCGGTACAGTAATCCCATTGAAGCAGAATTTGTTTTCTTTCCCAATACTTTACAACAATAACGATTGTTTAGTGCTTCTTAATCCATGGGAGAAAATGTAAATAGTTTGTACATAATTTGTTTGTATAGTAAGGAATAAAGCTTTAGAAATCGCTTAAGACTTACGGAAACAACTAGTTTAAGTGCCGTTCCCCTTACCAACAGATGTCCCAAACACACACAAAACTGTACTTGAACTTGGCTTGTTGAAGGTCCTATAATTTGCCTTGATAATTTTTCCCAGTTTGATTTTGAAATTGAACAGTCTTTACATTCACGGCTTCTCAATTACATTTTATTTTTGCAATTCTTATACATTTACAGACAGAAAATTACTTGTTTCTTTAAGCTGGATCATTGATAAAACATGTTGAAAACAAAATAAACAAAAGGTTTTGAACCTCCATTTTCAAACGGGAAATAGCTATCGCCATAAAATTGTGTGCGTGTGAGTCTGAAGTAAAAGACCAGATGCTTGGGGTTTGCCGGCCTCACCATGTTTCACACATGACACACGAGGGACATGGGAGTGTCTTAAGCTAGCCCTAGCTAAACTTTAAGAAATACCACCTTTATGAAGCCCTCCTGTGACTTTCATAAAGTTAAATCCCATCACAATGGTAGTACTATTCAAAGCACTTTTTGCTGTCCCGTCTGGAGTACTGCTCGGTACTCTCCCCCCCCCCCCCTCCTCCCTCCTTCAGAGCAGGAGAGATTGCTGAAATAGAGGGAATACAGAGAACATATACGGCATACATAGACGCGTTAAAACACCTAAATTATTGGAATCGTGTCAAAGCTCTCTAAATGTACTCACTAGAAAGGAGACGCGAGAGATATCAAATAATATATACGTGGAAAATACTGGAAGGCCAGGTCTCAAATGTACACAGTAAAATGACAACATACTGGAATGAACGACATGGAAGAAAATGCAGAATAGAACCAGTGAAGAGCAGGGGTGTCATAGGCACAATCAGAGAACACTATAAAAATATTAGAGGTCCACGGTTGTTCAACGTCCTCCCAGCGAGCATAAGAAATATTGCCGAAACAACCGTGGACATCTTCAAGAGAACACTAGATAATTTTATTCAAGAAGTGCCGGACCAACCTTGCTGTGGTGGATATGTGGGCCTGCGGGTCGCTCCAAGCAACAGCCTGTTGGACCACCATTCACCTGTAGACTATGCCGACATGCTGCTTCAGCAATATGCAAGCACTGCTAGTATAAGCAGCCTGCCCCTAGATGTGCAAAACTATCTGGCTAGTACTAAAATAAATCGTAACTTCAATATTGAAATTGCCTGTAGTGAAATAGGGCCTGATGATAACTATGGCATAACCCCCTTTGAAATTAAAAATGCACTCAAGAAAGGTAAGGCTACCTCTCCTGGAGAGGATGGCATCACATACAACACCATGAGAGTACTTGCTGAGCTGCCAAATAGCCCTTTGCTAGAATTGTTTAATCAAAGTCTAAGGCAGGGTGTTTTACCTGACCGCTGGACACAGGGACTCATAATACCCATACCCAAGCCTAATTCACAAAAATTTAGACCCATTTCTCTAACGTCGTGCATGTGCAAAGTTCTTGAGAGAATTATTCTCGACAGACTAATGTTTCAAATCAAGCCCCACCTTGCCCCTAACCTGTATGGTTTCCTTCCTGGAAGAAGCACACAAACTTGCTTTGCTGAGTATTTTATCAGAGGGGGACCAAACTCTCAGGCGGCATTTATTGATCTCCAAACTGCTTTTGATACAGCAAACAAAGAAATAATCCTAGAACAGCTAGCCTCTTTTGGAGTTAAGGGAAGACTGTTGACATGGCTCAGGGGGTACCTGAGTAACAGAACCGCCTCAGTCCTTTTCAAGGGGGTCAAAAGTAAACTCTGTGCACCCTTTGAGTTGGGTACACCCCAGGGTGGAGTGCTAAGTCCCACACTGTTCAATGTTCTGATGCATAAATTAACAATTGATATTCCTACACTACCTGACGAAGCCGTCATTTGTTATGCCGATGATATATGCATTGTTGCAAATTCCCAAACTAGACTGCAAGCTCTACTTGATTCATTCGCTGCTAAAAGCATTGAATGTGGTCTTGTTATCTCTATAACTAAATCCAGAGTTCTCCATCCCAAAGAGAAAACTCATGTCCCTATAGCTTTCAAGGTCAACAGCCAGAACATTGAAACGTGTGGGCAGCACAAATACCTTGGAGTTGGTATTAACAGTGACATTGTAAATGATCTACACCGTAGGTTAAAAGAAAGACTAAAACCATTGAGAACACTTACTGGTAAGAATATTGGTATCAATATTAAATATGCTAGACTATTCTATATGATGTTTGTTAGATCTCTCGTTGATTATAATGCTCTGCACTTAATTAATTTCCCCTCCTCTGTGTTGGACAAACTTGAAGTAATACAGAACGAGGCCATGAGGATAATTCTTGGTGCCCCAAGATGCACAAGAATCATCAACATGAGGGAAGAACTGAAGTTTCCAACCATACTAGAGAGAATAATGCAAGTTAACACTACCTTCTACATACCAACTCACTCCTTTTATGATAATTGGCTGAGAAACAATGCTTACAATCTCATTAAACTTAACATTCCTTTTAAGTGCAATCTACCAGTCTCTGATATTCCTCTTTATCTGTACCCCACCATTCAAGTATCATACACACCTGTCACCAAGAAAGATAATGAGAATCTTGCTCTACTCAAAGCTGTCACTCTTGAAACAATTGCCTCCTCCATCGAGAGTCTAAGATCTCACGAGCACTGTGTCTACACCGACGGCTCAGTCCAGTCTTCTACTGGACGGACTGCAGCGGCATGTAGGTTTTATAGAAATAATATCTGCACAAAGTCTGTCAGTGTCAGGTTAAACAACTGGCTGACCTCCACACAAGCAGAACTAGCAGCATTACATTTAGCAACCAGCACATTAAAAAATATTGGAGGAGGAATAATATTCTGCGATTCAAAGTCTGCTCTTCAAGCAATCGAAAACTTCTCTTGGAAGATCGACAGCAAGAACCTAATACTCCCAATTATAAATGACCTAATTGATGCACAGAGTAAAGGGTCTCGAATCTCCTTTGTATGGATACCTTCACACATAAATATAACCCATCATAATGAGACAGACATTGCAGCCAAATTAGCGTGTAACAAGTTTGAAGTTGAATTAGATCTAGGTATCCCCATCTCTGCTGTCAAAACTGTATTGGTCCAAACATTCAGATCTGATAGGAAAGAACTTACTGACTCCCAACGACCTGAAAGTACTAGTATAAAAAGCTATGATTTGTTCAGATCTGAAACCTACATCTATGGACAGCACAAAACGTCCACTAGACTGTGCGACACAGTGGTTGCAAGGATCAGGTTGGGTTACCGTTACCTGTGGCAGGTGGCTGCAGGTGACGGGTCTCCCAATCCTGAGCACTCCAGTTGCAAACTCTGTGAGCAGGAACTACGGCATGATCTCCCGCACTACATCACTGAATGCCCAGTTATTAGACCTTTCAGACCAGTTGGCATGAGGTACCTGGAGCTTTGCAATTACTTTATTCACTCTCGTATTCTTGAAGATATCCTCACAGTATACCCAAAATTTGCCAGTGCAGGCTATTAAACACATGGCCCTGTATGACTAACCATCCTGCGAGATGGGGACTTGTATTACCACTGCTACCTTATTCAATCTTGTGTTGTTGATATCCTCAAAATGCATCCGGAGTCTGCCAGTGCAGACCGCCTATCACATGCCTCTGTATGACTAACCATCCTGTGTGATGGGGATTTTATAGCATCACCTAGTTAGCTTTTTTTTTGACACACTGTACTCCACTTCATATAGTCTAGGGTAGCTGCACTAATGCAGATGTACCTCATAACTTAATAAAAAAAAAAAAAAAAAAAACCAAAAAATATTCTACCTTATTCAAATGATATCAGTCTGCCAGTGCAGACCGCTTATCACATGCCTCTGTATGACTAACCATCCTGTGTGATGGGGATTTTTTAGCATCACCTAGTTAGCTTTTTTGACACACTGTACTCCACTTCATATAGTCTAGGGTAGCTGCACTAATGCAGATGTACCTCATGTGTTAATAAAAAAAAAATATGGTCCTGTATGACTAACCATCCTGTGTGATGGGGATTTTTAGCACCACGTAGCTAGCTTTTTGACACTGTACTCCCCTTCATATAGTCGAGGGCAGCTGCACACATGCAGATGTACCTACATGTGTTAATAAACAAAAAAAAAACAAGTTATATTCTTGTTATGCAACCTGTCATTTTCTTGCAGTCGTGACAGCAACTTTATTGTTTTCAATAGAGGCAAGATCTTCCAACAGAACACCAACAAATAATTTTCATTGCTCTTTCGTTCCATTCTGATATTACTGCATTTTATATATGGTTTCCGTTTAAATATTTTCATATTTGCCATAGCACAGAAACTGGAATTTATCTACACTAAATTATTATTATGTGGCAAATTGAAAGACCTGATTTACATCAGATTAAAGGGTTGCTGTGTCCACTATGTTGTCAACTCCTACAAAAATCCTTGTCATCTGCAAATGATGATA